GAGGGAGGGAGGAAGGAAGGAAGGAAGGAAGGAAGGAAGGAAGGAAGGAAGGAAGGAAGGAAGGGAGGGAGGGAAGGAAGGGAAGGAAGGAAGGGAAGGAAGGAAGGGAAGGAAAGGAAATAAATAAGGGAAGGAAAGGAAAGAAATATGGGAAGGAAAGGAAGGAAATAAGGGAAGCAAAGAAAAGAAAGAAAGGGAAGGAAAGAAAAGAAAGAAGGGAAAGAAAGAAAAGAAAGAAGGGAAGGAAAGAAAGAAAGAAAGAAAGAAAGAAAGAAAGAAAGAAAGAAAAGAGATGTTTCTGACTTGCCAGTGGAAACGGAGCATCCAGTTTTTCAAAATAGCAACAAAAAAAAAACAAACAGAAAGATAAGTTTTAACTGCAATGTTTTTGCAGTGCATCCGCAGGAATCGCATGTCCCATGGAATGAAGTCATGCATGACTCATGGGCATAAATCTGCAATTTCTTTTTGGGCAGAAAATAATAAAATCAAGATGTTTAGCTAAACTTTAAACAGGTTTTGCGTTCGCATTTGGCAATAATTTTGCGGATCGTCTGACATATTGTTGCAAATCTGTCGCGACATATTTGCGGGTCTTCCATGTTTCGTGCAGGTTCGCAAGCGATCAGCAGCTTTGGAGATTGTCGATGCTTCAGGAAAAGGCATAAGTGGCGCTCGAGTGGTGGTCAATCAGAAGACTCAGAGCTTTCCATTTGGATGTGTAGTCAGTCGGGAGGCTATAGACAATCCGCTGTTCGTGGAGTTCTTTTCGTCATACTTCAACTGGGCATCAATTGAGAACGAGATGAAATGGCACTACACGCACCCAGACGAACATACTTCAAACTATGAGGATGCCGACGCGATAGTGGACTTCTGCCAGGACAAAGATCTCAAGGTCCGAGGACATTGTCTGTTTTGGGAAGTGGAGCAATACGTCCAGGACTGGCTGAAGGACTTGACTGTGCCAGAACTATATCAAGCGGTGGAGCAAAGGATCTTTGAGACGGTTCATCGGTACAAGGGCCGTGTTGCACATTGGGATGTGATAAACGAGATGCTGCATGGGGATTTCTACCACAACCGGCTTGGTCCGGAAGCGCAGGTAGCAATTTACAAGCGAGTACACGAGTTCGATCCGGATGCGGAGCTTTTCGTGAACGACTTCAACATGTTGACAGGAATCGAAGGCTCCGCCACAGCATCGAAGTACGCTGACCACATTCGAGGGTTGCTTGATCAGGGAGCGCCGATCCATGGCATTGGTGTCCAAGCCCATTTCAGGCAATGCCCCAGCGGCCTCATCATCAAGCAAGGGCTTGATGAGCTGGCGAAACTGGGTCTTCCCATTTGGTTAACAGAACTCGACATCATGAACTCCCATGATGCGCGTCGTGCCAATGATCTGGAAACAGCATTACGCGAGGCATATGCTCATCCTGCAGTCGGAGGGATTGTGCTCTGGGGCTTCTGGGAGATCAGCATGTGGACAGAGTACGGAGCATTGGTCGATAAACATTGGAAGCTGACGGAAGCCGGAAGGCGTTATGCCGCACTCCGAAAGGAATGGATGACGAAGGACGTTGTCGGTGTCACAGACGCAGATGGAATTTTCGAGTTCCGCGGCTTTCCAGGTACGTACGAGGCGACTCTAACCTTGCACGATGAAGCTACCGGCGACGAGACGACTATAACAAAGAGTTTTGAAATCACGCCAAACTCTCAAAGTAAGACTGCATGCTGCAGTTATCAACAAGAAGGAACACGGGATTTTTTCCAGCCCCAGAGTCTGCAATGGGTTCGCCTAGTGATAGCATAGCAATGTCCGCAGCAGCAATTGCAACTTCTTCGATCCACTTTTTTGTAGGTTCTTTCTACTTTTTTATGTTCATTTTTTTTTTTTTTGTTTACGTGAGCAGAATCTCGTCAATCCAGTGCCCCACTTTGACTTGCGAAATTACGAATTACAAAAAATAATTAAAAAAAAAATAAACATAAAATTACGAATGCATGATGACAGTGCTTCTGAGAAATGAAACTGGCACAGTCTGGCAGTGATAAACATGTAGAAATGTCCACCTTTAGTATGCACAAAGGTTGCTTCCGCCATCAGTGTGGGCTTGCTTGATGATGATTATATTCCTAGAATGGAAGGGGCACTACCCAGTTACAGCACAAGACGCTGCCTCGCTCTGCCGAAAACAGATTTTTAAAGATTTTGTTGTGGCCTTTTTGCCCGTATTCAGTCCGTGCGCCCGCATTTGAAGAAATGTGTGATGGTCTTTTAATCAACACACATTTCTCAAGACTCTCAGCCCACCCACCTCCCCTCTCCCTACCCATAACTGCGGCCCTGCCTATTCCTACCAATACCCTTCCCTTCACCCTACTCCCGAGTCCCAACCACCATCGCACGAATCTGAAGCGAGCAAGCGACTGCTAGCTAGCAAAGATGACGAACCGTCTGACGAAGAAACGTGAAAAGTGTGGCCACGTCGGGGTTGGCCATGGATGGATGCGTCTACCAAACACAGGAAGCGTCCTGGAGGAAGCGGTGATGCTGGTGGAGGTACGCATCATCACAGGATCATGATGGACAAGTACCGTCCAGGATACTTTGAGAAAGTGGGGGTTATGCGGCATTTTTCACAGTTGAAGAACAAGCATCACTGTCCTACGATTAACGTGGACAAGTTGCAGACAAGTTGTGGGCACTAGTTCCCGAGGAGGTGAGAGAGAAAGACAACGGCGGGAAGGTGGTGGCATCTATTATCGACCTCAGGAAGAAGAGGGGCCATATGCAAGCATCTTGGCAAGGGCAAGGGCGCCCTCCCCGAGCAACCCCCAGTCGTCAAGAGGGAGTCGGTGAGTGAGTAAGTTCGCAGGGAAAACGATTAAAGGAGGCCGGCGCAGTTATTCCCATGGCATAAGAAGTGGCTCGCTCGTACAAAGTCGGAGGAGACCGAGGGTAGCAGCCCTACGATCGATTTGGCAGAGAATGGACAAGCGAGGGAAACCAGGCAATAGCAGAGCTAACAGAAGACGGAAGCAGAGGCTGAATGGAGCAGCTTTTGAGTTTACGGGCTTATGAACTTATCGAAGCTCCAGAATGGGAAGCAATCGACACAGATGCTGGGTGATAGCAAAAGGGAAAGAAATGCGTGCTGGCATTTGTAGTACTATTGAGGATGAATACTGTGCTTTGGCCCTTAAATTAAAGGATATAAAATTATAAATGTGTGAAGTAACTGCAGTTATGCTTCTGTGATGTATGAGGACTGGAGGACGGGTCTTGTGAAGGAGCGTGAGGAGAAAGTAGGTGCTTTGGCCCTAAAATTGAAGGAATTTCAAGCATGGTAATCGACCGGACGTCCGGACCAGGTTCCAGACAGTCCGGAGCAACATGTCTGGTGTCCGGTGTCTGGTCCATATGTTCGGATGGAGGCCCCCAGGGTAAAAAAAAAAAAAAAAAAAAAAAGGGGCCGGCCCAGGAGGGTCCTGGCCGCGCCTTGAAAAATAATGGGGTGATTTTTCAGTGTCGTTTCACCCCACCAGACAGGGCCTAGAGGACCGGACACAAGACACTGCAGGTTTTTGGGGTGGCGGGTTTCACACAGGCCCGAGCAATTTCGAAGTGGCCGTTTCGACGTGCCGCCCGCCGCTCACCGCTGCTGCCAGTTGCCGAGAGAGAGAGAGAGAGAGAGAGAGAGAGAGAGAGAGAGCACTGATAGGGCTGCCAGTCTGAAGACTCTGACGTTCTGAATTGAACTGCGAAGTTCGATCTTTTAAGTTACATGAAGTTATCATAAACTTAAATTACTTAATTCAAATTTCAGAGTTCAAACTTCAAAGTTAATCATACTTCTTTGAAGCTTTTCCTTTTTTTTTTCTCTGTTTCTTTAGTCCCGTGCCTGCTTTTTGGCACTGTTTGCAACTCTGCATGTCTGCTACTAGTTGACTGTGCTTGTTGATTAACTTGATTTGCTGCAAGACAGGTGCTCTGCTGCCTGAACTACAAAAAAGCGCAAAGCAGGTACTAAGTGCCTGCCAACAGCGCCCCCCCCTCTCTCTCCCGTTTTCTTTTTTCTTTTTTTTTTCTTTCTTTTTTTTTTTTT